AAATAAAAATTAACACTTTGTGAACGAATCGTATTGTGAACTAACCTTAAAGGTATTATTGTCATATGTGTTTTGTTTTTGAGGCTAAGTTTTCTAACATTGTTTTTCGTATTACTTTATTTAAAATCATATTTATGTATGTATCTATTCTATCTGTATGTAAAAAATAGCAGTAATTTATTATTTTCATTGTTTCACTAGTGGAACAATATTTTATTTTTCAACTAGTGTTATAGCTTACTTTTTTCATTGTTTTCGAGATTATAATGTCTTTATTCCTCGAGAGCTTGCGTCAAATATAATACCTACTTTATAAAAATTAAAAACTACTCTCTAAAAATGAATTAGTCAAAAATTACTAATTTAATAGTTATTGGTGGCTGTTGTTTCACTTGTACCATGGTTAACCATGGAACACCATGGTATCCCAAAATTTAACAGACAAATCCTATGTAAAATTGTCCCCTAAATCCGAAAATACTGTCAAAAATTATGAAAATGGAGCAGTTTTTGAGATATAGTAAATTCCATATTAAATGAAAAATTGACTATATCTCAAAAACTGTTCTACATTTTTTAACTTTTGACATTTTCGGATTCAGGGGATAATTTTATATAAAAATTGGCTGTTAAATTTTGGGATATCATGGTATTTCATCTTTAACCATGGTACAAGTGAAAAAGCAGTCACTAATAACAGTTATTATTTTTATTAGTTTAGTCATTTTTGACTAATTCATTTTTAGAGAGCACTTAATAAGTAAAGGTCAGTCAAAAAAATGGTTTCAATTTTATTTAAATGTTTTGTTGTTATTGATCGTTTAAAACAATATTACCTTGTGAACAAGAAAAATTGACCTAAAGGTAAAATAATTTGGGTTTTTTTTGTAAATTTTCATGGATAAACTGATATTGTTTAAATGGGTTTAAAATTATAGCGGATTCGATCAATACCCACATAGCACATATATCCATTGGACGTCCAATGGACGGCCATTGTACATCCAAACGTCCAATGTAAATCCATTGGACATCTTGTGCTGTATGGGTATTTTTGTGTCCGATATTTTTTTTATACAATTTATATTATTTAGGGCACGTGTAAATATAAAAATAAACATTAGAGTTTATTTACAAAATTACTTTATTTTATAAAAATGCTAAAATTAGGTAATTTTTTTGTATTACATTTTTTGTTATTTATTAAAGTAATAAAACTTTTTGAGAAAAAAAGATATATATGTGAAATATTAAAGGTAGCAATGGTTTTCTTTAAATATGTGTATTTGTTACGATAGGAAAATGTTTTTTTATACAAAGTTAATGATATTATTTTTTTATGCACTTTAGTTTTGTTTTAAATTTGTTGGTATCTTGCTAAAAAAATTTTTAAAACCAAGTCAAAACACAAAAAACATCAACTCTTGTTGCAAACTTAATTTATTCGCAAAGCTATGCATTCCTTCTGAATCACCCTGTATAAATAATTTAGGTCTTACCGATGATCCACTGAGTCCTAATCGAACCCTGGAATATTTTTTCATGACAACTCTCCAAATGACGTAAGCCATTATAAATACATGCACAAAACATTAACATTTATTTACACAAAACAATCCTAATTGGAATATTTAAATAACCAACGATGCATCAAGAAAAAACACCAAGCACAAACAAACAAATGTCAAAATATCTACCAAATGTTCATATTATTAATAATTGCGCTTTTAACTAGGCGCTACTGTATGTAATTATAACATTATTAAAAAGTAATATCGCATCTAGTATGCCGCGCGCGAAACAATTGACTGTGCAATCGCACGTGCTTTTTCGTACCGTTCGGTTGTTACCGTTGTGGTCGAGATTCGAACCCATAGCGTGATGGATTTTCTAGGATGGTAACACTGCGCACAATGATTCCACATTAGGGTGGAGCGATTTTGAACTACAAAAAAACTTAATTTTTGCGCGATCGGGGTCTTTTCATTTGGGTAATAAAATGGCAAAATTTGGGTTCCCAAATATGACGCCTTTAGGTTCCTAGACGGCCTTTAAAATTAACCTTAAATTTAAATTTATATATATATATATATATATATAACTATATAATTGTATTTTAATATTCTCTGTCTAGTTTTCCTTGAAGAAAAACAACCCAGAACTCACCACGAGGAGGGGACTGCAAATCGGGTTCCACGCATTTCCTCCCTCCCAATTTTAAAAGGTCAAAAGCAAACACTATTAAATTTTCAAAAAATATATGGTGGCCCCCGGCCATTTTTAAAAATACAAATAATTTAATATTTGACATTGACATTTTAAATTTAAAGTGCTCAACTTTGTAAAAGTTACATAGGCTTAAAATAATCAAATTGGCTCAAAAAAATACATTTATATTACTATAGTTTTTTGCTCCAGCTTAAACTAGAATCCAAATCGGCGGATCCCCGCTTAGTCTGAAATATGAAAATATTTAAATTTTTTAAACTGACTGGGGGCCTCCATTTAGCTTGTTTTTACTTTATTTTGTGAAAGTTAATTTGCTAAAAATAACATCTTGGCTTAAAAAAAAAATCTTTAAACTGTTTTACACCTCCTTTTGAATATTATTTTTATTTTAAGATGGCTTTGGGGCGGTGGAAGAAAATTAAAAATAATTTTAAAAAAAATTACAAAAAATATTTATTTATACCATACAAGTATTCTATAAACAGGCGTTTTCAATTTTAAAAATATTCATATTTCGCTCCACCCTATTGGTCAGTAACTTTCAGCAACTACATGAAATTTACATGGCCAATTCTGGTGTGGTACTTTTAGAAATTCTTACTTTAATAATAAGGACAAGCTAGTTTAATTTTCTATAGTAAGACCATTTTCCTTAGTAAGATTAATACGACGTGGACAATCAGGCAATTTTGGACGCTTCAGGTTTTTTCCATCATTTCTTTAGTAGAAAATAAACAAAAACATCTTTTTGATGTCCTTATTATTAAAGGAAAATGCAAAAGTAAAGTTTTCTAGAAAGTATGACCTCAGAATTGGCTTCTGATCCGGTTTTCTTATAATTTTGCAAAATTGTTTGTAAGATAAGAGTTGTTAATGATCCTATGAGTATGAGTATGAGTATAAGAACTTATGGCAGGCCCCATCGGCCACGCTTTAGGGTTATTTTACCCCCTTTCGGTTTTATATGTATCCCGCCACTGGATCTAGGAGGTCGTGGATGACAGTGTCGATGGTGAGGGCCATTCCCGGAATTTTGGCGCCGGGCCGACCATACGCCCGATTTAGGCTAGTTCAGTGTAGGACAAGGAGGGACAACAGTTGGTTTTTGGGGGCCTTGAACTGACCCAAAACTAAGTACAATCCGGACTCCCCCTTAACCAGGGTATTAGTAATGACCCCATTCAATTGGGGTTCATGAATGAGGCATGGGTTATTATAAAAGTAATGATCCTATTACTCAAAAATACAACTAGTTACTGACCAAGGAGGGAAATTAGTTGCAGTTTGCCTAGTCACAAATAACCGCAAATAGTTTTCTTAGCCATAAAAAGCATTCCTTATTTCGTAGATTTTTATTTAAGTGTTTTAGTTTATTAATTTTCCTAATTGGTATATGCAGGGTCTTCGAGAAGTCGCTCACCACCTTGAAGGTGTATGATCTACGGACCCTAAATAATCCCAGGAAATTGTTAAAAAAAACATATACAGGGCATACATATTTTTTTAAATGGCAACAAAGAATGCTTATAAAGTGGTAGTTTCTTAATTATTATTACAAGAAACAACAATATTAAAAAGCATCAAATTCTTTAGTTTTACTTTACGTCACTTGACAGAAGCAAATACAGAGTTTTCTCTCAGAAACTAATAAAACCATAGATTAAATCTATTTAGAAAAACCAAAGAAATATTAACATTATATATACACACCACACAGGCTAATAAGCATTTAATAAGCAAACACAACATACATATCACAATATTAAGCGTCTACATTAGACCTAATTTATATAAAATGCATGAGTGCAAAAGTCATGACTTGTAACAATATGACCAAATTAAACCTATTATTTTTAATTTTTATTAAACTCATTGTTTGAGCTCTCATATATTCTTAAATAATAAAGGAAAACTTTTTTAACAATTTTCACTTTCAAGGTAGTGCGCGACTTCTGGGACACCCTGTACATACGTATAGTTATGGGCGACCTTCAAATGTTATCTGATTCTAAAAAAAATGTACTTACTAATTTAGAATAAAAAATACTTGTGGAGACGAAATATTTCAAACTTTTAATTTTTTGTATCACCCTAGTTGTTAATACCCATAATAGCCACTACAAATACTACTTATATGCCATTTTGTTCTCATATTAAAATATTGTATTAATTTTAGTTTAAATGTAAAAAAAACAAAACTATATCCTGCGGGTGGCGAAACTATTTTGACAAATGTAATGCTGTAGTATTACTACTGTAGTAGTGGCTATAACATCAATATTCTTGTTTATAGTAATGCAGATTTTTTAAAGTAACAACCAAGAATTTTACTGCAAAAAACACCCTATGCATGTCTATTCGTGCATGTCAGGGTAATTTCTTCAGTCTTTAATAATATAATAATGGAAAGTGAACGCCCGTCTAAAAATAATCGATAATATTTAGGAGTGTTGTCTGCAAACTTAGTTAATTAAACTATAACAGTATTGTCTGTTGTAAATTATATAAATTGCGGGTTTAAAAATACATAGTTATGTTTATACAAAGTTTTTAAAATGTATATATCACGATAAGCTCATTAAACTGTTAAATCTATTGCAATAATAATATCTGTATTACTTGAAACTCAAACAAAACTTTACATACCATGATTTAAGCAATTATGTTTATTATATTTGGTCATGACACAAGACCCATTATAGTTTCTGTATCCCAACAAAAAGTAAATTGTTCTCGAAATACGTTAGCAAACTTGTAAAATAAAAACTTACCCTGTATGTAAACTTATGTATTCCATAGATTTTTGTAAGAGTTTCTATAGCTTCCACTACTCCTTCCGAACAATTACCACAATACATTTCTTAGTATTTTTTCTTAAAAATGAATCGCATGCATATAAAACAGGTAGCGAATATTTAACTAAAATAGATTTAATGTAAGTTTGGCATCGGAAATATTTAGATTGTTTCAGCAAATCAAGGGTGTTTAAATCATGTTTTAAAAATAGCGCATCGACATATTTTAAACTAGTTAAATTATATTTTGTTATTTTATTAGATTAATATTGTATCCATATAATAAATGCTAAAAATATAAAATTATCAATTATTTAACTTTGGTTGTAAAGTACAAATTAACAATATTAACAGTTTTAAGTTTTAAACAACGACACCTTTATTTTTAATGCTGCATTTCATAAACATAGCAGTGGCGGTTACAGATTTCTTTAAACATTTCGTATATTCTCTCTCATAGGTGAAACTAGTGGTATAAAACTTAAACAAGCACGGATATTATTTTTATAGTATTTTTATTATATATTTTTATGTTTATACAAATAATACAAATCAACAACTTTTTATTATATACAATAACATCATTAGATTTATATTTAAGTTACCAAATAAATAGCAATACATTTAAAATAACAAGTTAAGTTAATAATATTGTAACAACTTTATACCTAATCTAATTTCTTCCTAGCAAATATTTTACTCATCCATATTGGAAGCCATCTTTTTGGCATCCTTCTTTTAATTTCATCAGTCAATTGTCTGTAAATCATTACCACCAAAACGGGTATGGCAAAAAGTTCATTTTTAAATAAATACAACCAACAAGCTACCATAAACATTGACAAATCTGTAATGTAATCCATCACACTTTTAACTTTTATTTCTGCTCTTGCAATCAGTTCTTCCTGTTTTAGATATTTTAGGGGAGTCGCTGATCTGAATTCATCTGAAAATGATTCTAATCCTACTGAAGTTTGGGTCATAATTTCTTTGAGTAATGGTCTAGGGCGAGAATAAGAGTTAGTTCTGCTCCTTGATGGTGATGGTGATGGTGATCTTGATATTTTCCGTCTGTTCAGATGGGGTGACGATGACTTTTTCTTAATATCTTTTCTCATTGGCGAGGGAGACGTTTTTCTTTTAGGTTTTTCAGGCGGACTTCTAAGAGTACTCCAGTTTTCATTTCTAACTGGAGATTTTGATTTTGATCTTCTTGTGGTTAAAGAACTTCTTCTCCCAGGACTTTGACTTGGTGTCCTTTTAGATTTCTTCATTGGCGATGCAGAAACTTTTCTTTTACCTTGTTCCTTTGCAATGTTACTATCTACTTTCTCATTTGTTATGTCTCGTCTACTAAATAACTTCTTTTCAGGCTCAAATGTATTTACTGCCTTAGGTATTATAATGTCTACAACTTCGACTGTTTGTAACTGACTTTCTATGGAAGGCTCTATACATTCAGTGGCTGTATACAAAGTTTCTGTTTCATAATGGATTTTTGTCGGTTGATTGACTTTTTTCTTTAAACTTGCCGTCCGTATTATGTCACCGTAATGATCTATTACCACCTTGGCCTCTTCATTATCCTGTTTCTTTTCCAATAATTTTTGAGGAATTATAATGCCAGCCGCAGCTATTGTAGAAAATGCAGTAGCGGCTTTAATATTATGCGTTGGTAATACTTTCTCTTCCTCATTGATTTTTTCCAGCGATTGTAATTTTTCATTGTTTTTGAGTATCAAAGATAAAGACCGTTGCCTTGCCTTTGCTTCCTTTTTCTCGCCATTCTTCTTATTTCTGAACATTTTGTCTGTTAGTGGATCCAATAGTTGTTCTACTAAAGATTGGGATCTCTCGCGTTGTACTGCATCAGGAGGCATTGGCGAATGAGATCGTTTTTTCTTCTTTTTTATTTCTGGTTGTATTAAATCATATTGGATATTATCCTCGTGGTCCTTTTTCTTTAAAATAGGTTTGGGTACAAAATTTGGATCTGGCAAATTTTTACGTTTTGTTAAAATTTCAAATGGTTCATTATCATTCGCGTTTGCCCTACCAGGGGGATGATAAGGCTCTTCTTCACTATCAGAAAAATCGTATAAATGGTATACGGTTTCCCTGGATTTGCTTTCATCTGATGAATCAATTTCTTTATCTTCTTCCTCGTCAGTACTTTCTTCGTAATCATCGCTCCATTTTTCCATGTCGGCTACACGGACAACTTTTTTTTCAAACTTCACCTTGTCCTGCATTTTTTTTCGTATTCTTTCGAACTCTTCTTCTTCCTTTTCTTCAGACTCGGATCTTTGCCGAAGCATCATCAGTTCTCTTTTATCTTCAGGAGAATATTTTTGTAAATTATTTGGCGGTAAAACTTCCTTTAACTCACTTGGTGATCGAAGACTGTGTCTTCTTTGTACCATCAAAGCCTGTTCATGAGTGATTCCAGCTGATTTTCTTCGCAATGAATGCTTTTTTTCGAGACCCACAACCTTTTGATTATCCTTATTGTTAATCTGTATTTTTGGAATATCCACACTATTTCTTTTGTTTTCGCTGGCCATTCGTTTTCTCTCTAATTCAGCTTCTTCAGCTTCAGCAGCTTGATAGAATCTCATTAAGGCTCTTTCGTGAAGGAGTTCCGTGCTACTTGCCGAGTTTCTCAGATTAAACAGCATTTCTGGAGGTTCTTTGCTTAATTCGGGAGCTGATAGTGACATTGGTGGCGGTATAGAGTTTTCGTCAAAGTCAAATGAAAATTCAGAAGCTATTCCTGCACCTATACAAATAAAATATTAATTGATTATAATATATGGATATTTTCTGCATACCTTTCTCGTTTTCATCAGGATATAAAACTAACATAAATTCTGAACTTCCAGTAAAGTTCTCGTGATTTTCCCTTGGCGACTTGGTTCTTGGAGGTGCTGGACTCGGTGAACGACTTTTTTGAGATGAAAAACTTACCGATCTAGATCTTTCTGGATTTGGCTCAGAAACACTTTGATTGCTCTGAACAGGACTGGGAGATTTTGATTTTTCTGAGCTAGAATAGTTTAATATGTAATCGGGAGCGTTAAGTTCCTTTTTAACTTTAATTTCAGGACTGCCATAAGCCAGTTCTCTGGCCATTGAAGATCGATCAAACATTGCTCTGTTTATCGAGGTATCCATTGCCTTTCTTGTTGGCATCGGAGATGAATCTGGGGTTTTTGGAGGACTTTTTATTTTTAATCTATCGGGTCTCCTAGGAATACCTGCATTTGATATTGAATTTTGAAGTCCATATTCATCTTGCCTTTCTTCTGCTCTACTAGATGACTGAGATCTTGGTTTATTTTTGCGTTTGGCTGCAACAGGAGCAGATATATCATCCAATATATCTCTGGGTTGACTACGGCCTCTGGATTGAATTGGTTGGGTTATACCTCTTTTGGGGTCGGGAATAAAAACTACGTCGGTTTCTTCGCTGGGATCGCTAATGCCATAAGGACTTTCTGCTTTTATTCTAAACTTGTACTCGCTACCCTCGATTAAGTCACCAAGCATTGTGGTAAGCTGACGACTTGTTGCAGCCTTTAGCCACACATTCCACCCCACTCTGTAGTATTCAACGATGTAGTTTCCTATTTTACAACCACCATCGTCATTTGGTAAACTCCAGGAAAGCGTCACCGACCTTCCCAAAGTCATTACTACTCTTGCCTTTCCAGGTGGAGACGGTTTATCAGTAACAGTAACTAAAAATGAAGCGTGGTCTTCTCCAAGCTTGTTGACTGCTTTTATTTGGTATTCGCCACGATCAGTCCTTCTGGCTTCATTTATCTTTAATATTGAGCATTTATCGTCATATTCTAATTCATATCGATCGTTTGTCTGTATTGTTTCTCCATCATGGCACCAGAATACCAATGGAGTCGGACGTCCAGCTACTTGGACCTGAAATAATAATAATAATAATAATTTTGTAGGTGTATGTAATGAATATTTCCTTATTATTTGTAAATATTTATTTGCGACTATTTTCGGTCTTTAGACCATATTCAGGCAAACTACAACAAAGCATAAAACATTGTTAAAAATAAAAATAGGTAAATATAAGGTTTAATTTTTAATACTACGGGAATACGGGGGGGAGTCAGGAATTAGTTAAGTTTTAATTGTTTAAAATTTAAACTTAACTTAAACTATTTACCACTATTTAAACTTTAAATAGTGGCAAATAGTTTAAGTTAACTTGGTCGTTGAGAAGGATGTCGTTGTTGTTTTGTTTGAACTTATGTATTTCCATGGCCTCTAATAAGGTGAGTTTTGTGCCTTTTTCTTAGTTGTGTAGAATTTTAACATTTTTGTTCAAATTTTTGAAATTGTTTCCAGTGGTGTGTAGGTGTCTACCGAAGTTTAAGTTTTTGTTGTCTTCAATATGTTCTTATATTCTGATTCTTATTTTCCTTCCAGTTTCTCCGATGAATGTTGCGGGGCAGTTGTTGCATTTTATGCAATAAACTTCATTTTTGTCCAGGTGTTGTGTGGGATCTTTTGCATTTTTTAGGTAATTTATGATGTTTTATTTTTGGGATGTAGCACATGTGATATCATATTTTTTTTTCAGGGCTTTTTCTATTTTGTTGTTGATGTTACCTTGGTGGTTTTAAATTGTTAGTATATCTTCTATTATCAATGAATTCAGCCCTAATTGTTTTTTTATTTTGACGTTGTAAGTTTTATATCCAATATTTGTTATTTAAAATAATTTAAAATCACTTTTTCCAAATATTGGACATAACCTTACAAAAACTAAACATTATATTTGGTTTATTTTAGTCTAAAGACCGAAACTAGTCGCAAATAAATATTTACAAATAATAAGGAAATATTCATTACATACAAGTTTAAAATAAATCTACCTTATTCAAAATGAACAAATGACTACAATAATAATAATAATAATAATAATATCTTATATTATTTTATTTTGATATACAAGTTTCCATTTACCCAGAAATTATTATTGAAAAAATCTTTTCTTAATTTGATTTCGTTAACTGAGGCATTTATAAAAAATCCTACAAACCTGATCTTATTTGATAGAAAATTTTGTTTACGTCAAGTTTTATTCCGACTATTAGAAAGAGATTTTTAAGTCAAATATTTTTAATAAAGAGTAAAGTATTTTTGTAAGAAAATCTCATGTTTTCAAAATTTAATAATGTTATCGAAATGAGCTAAAACCTTGCCATGAGATAACTTTTAAGGAGCACCAAATATTGTTATTTTAACCACCCTTAATATCATACCTTAAGTCGTATCATTTCGCCTATTTCGAATAGCAATCCTTCCTCATATTGTCTGGGTAGCCGAATGGCTGGAGGAGCCTCCAAACTGAGCTTCGCTTTAGTGGAAACATGTCCCGCTCTATTAGTAGCAGTACACTTAATTTCGCCCTCATCTCCCAAAGCACTTTGGTGTATGGTAAGTATACTTTTATCGTGTTCGGTAAGGATTCTTATCCTCCTGCTGCTAAATATTTCGAATCCATCCTTAAACCAGCACACTTTCGGAGCAGGTTGCCCCAAAAAGTGCACAGTAAATTCCACCTTCTCGTTCTCCAACGCCGTGGCATTCTGCAGCTCCTGCGTGAATCTGGGAGCAGTAATGGCAGATCTTTGCAAGGTCACCGTAATAGGTTCAGAAAGTTCGCCGGGGTCCGAAAGACCCACCGCGTTTTCGGCGCTCACTCTGAATTGGTATCGCCATCCGGGTTCTAATCCGCTGACTGTCAGTTCGGGAAACGGGACCATAAGCGGGGTGGCCCGGACCCAATGCGGAGAACCCGTTCGACGGTGCTCAACCAAGTATCCCGATATCGGAGAGCCGCCATCTTTTGTCGGCTTGCTCCAACGAATGGTGATCAGATCGGGTGTTGCTTCATTTTCTGTTATCAGCTGCGGCTTCCCAGGAGCGGAAGGGCGATCTAAAAATAATATTTGCAGTAAAAAATAATATCGATTTTGGGTTTAATAAATTCGCAAAATATAAAATTAAAATATTAATATATTATATTTATAGAATTATTTTTGTTTATTTTTAGTTAAGTACAACTAATAAGTATAACTAACTACTTAAATAAACTTAATTAACAAACTTAAAAATAATTATTTGGCTAAAAGTATAGTTTTCTGCGGTTCGTAAACTGTTTTTGCACGTATTATTACAATTTATATTGAATCTCTAAAAAAAACGTTAAACCGTGTGAAATAAATAAAAACTGAAAAATAGGAAACTTATACAGGGCGGCCCAAAGAATATATGTAAATTTCTATTAAAATTACAAGAAATTCTCCTTTTTTCAATTCGCAAAATTGCAGGAGTTATTTTTTTCGGGTATTTAGAGTAAAAAGTTGCCTTAGACTTAATGTTTTTAATGTTTTTTATTTTTTATTTCACTGATGCATTTTTGTTACAACATAACAGGGAGGTACTGAATTAAGGATTAAAAATTAAAAAAATACAGTATAAATACCATATTGTTATCACAATACAATTCATTATAATTAGAACCAATAAAATGCCAGTATTCCATAGTTACGCATTTTATCACAGCGACAATATTTTACACGTTGCTAAGGATTTTGACACTTTTCTTGATTTGACATTTGTTGACATTTAGATACTGTGTTTGTTAAATGATTAAAATAATGAATTATAAACTCTAAAAGATCGATGGGTTGGTGTAAACGATAATAAAATTAAGGTAAGTTCGAATAAATAAAGTTTATTAAAGTCTTTTTATATTTTAAAGCACATTTTAATTTCAAATGTCAAACTGACAATTCGTTAAATCCTAAAATTCATTATATTTTCTCACTAAATATAACTCGTGGTATGATTAATTATAATTATCGATGACAGCACATTTCACTCGTCTTGCGGACTGAAATCTGCAGCTCGGTTTCAATTCGAAAATATCATATATTATGGGTGTTAATATTTTGTTTGTATCGTAAACCATAAACGTTAAAACAAATTTTACCTGAAAGTAATTACAAATATTTTTAAATTACGTGAAGCGCCAAAATTTAAAAGTGCCTTTAACCTTTCAGTGGTCGCGCACGGTGTCTGACACCGGGGCGATTTAAAATTTAACTAAACTTTGAAGATGGTGGATATAAAAACTTCACCGCCAAGGTACCTTCCTAAATAGTGTACAAGCATGCTCAGTTGCAATTTGGATGCCATTGAACATATTTATTGCGAATTATAGTGACTTCCGGTGTGTGAGACCGGGGTGACCATTCGTGTTACAAATAACTCGTGCTGCTTTGACCGAAATTCCACAAAGTTTGAAATTTTCACTTCAAGAATTTTGTGGAATTCAAAAATCTCAAGAAAATATTACCCCTGGTAGATGTGCCTATAGGCAATATATTGCAATTGGAAAAAATATAGAAAAACTGGATTTGTGTGTTTTAAACGAAATACCTACATGTGCTTAGAGCACATAATAGGCATTTGCCAATCTTGCAAGCAAAGTCCTTTCGAAGCTTAATTTTTCAATTTTTCTTTCACTACCGTATTAAATAAGGACCAAAAAATAATATATTTTTTATTTTAACTTTTTTAACCCTGGATTGCTACACTTATTTTCCAAACATAATCTGCTAGATGGGGTACGGTTGTACCCCAAATAAAAAAAATAGATAATATCTTATTTTTTATTTGGGGTACAACTCTATTATATATGACTTTAAAAAATACATGTTTACATAACACAAAAACAATATTAAATATGGTTTTAAATATTTATTTTCTTTACAAAAATGTTTTATTTTATTACTCGGCATAAGTTGGGCATATTTTGTTTTGGTGCCATTTCTTGCGTATCCTTGAAAAATAAATTTCTTAAAAACAACAAAATTTATGAAACTATAATAATAATTTTAATAATTTAGCAGAAATGTATACTTACATGCAAAAACAAGTTTTATTTATTACTTATTTTATGCTACACTGGGGTACACCCGTACATCTTATATCAAATATCTCTAAAATGAAAAATACACCAATATCACACATGAACTGCCCTAACATAGGATGAAACTACTCAGAAGGCCACGACCGCAGCTCCATCTATTTCCGATTGGCGGGATTTTTAAATATGGCTGGGGTACAACTGTACCCCAAGTAGCATTCCAGGGTTAAGTTGCAATTTTATTTGTATGTTAAAAGTTTAAAGACCTTTTTTATATGAATTTTATTTTTGTTTTTTGCCTATATTTTCTAAAATATGTATTTTTTCTTATCACTTTTTTGTACCTATATGTACCTTTTTACCCATAAAACTTCACTGATGGTAAATATTTTTATTTCCACCTTCTTAGTAAATGACATTTTATAGGTTAATTTTGTTGTTTTTGTATCCAAGTAAAAGATACATTATGGGAACAGACCTGTAATATTTTACGGGCTTGTATAAAAGACCTGTAAAGTTTTACAGGCTTGTAGAAAAGCAATTTATGAAATGAAATGTCACATTTGACATATTAATTAAAATTTTAAATTTGAAAATCTTTATCTAAAGGTGAAAATAAAAGTTTGTACGTGTCACGCTTTGCAATTAATCTTTACTAGGCTCACTGTATTATGGGGTTCGCTCCTGCGTCGCTCACCCCACAAACTTTCAGCTCGCCCGTAAAGATTCATTTACAAAGCTTGACACGTAAATAACTAATAAAAAAAAATCGCAAAACCTATAAAAAAACAACCCGGTGTTTACAGACCGGGGCGACTATACTTGAAAAAAAAAAATAGCGCGACTACTGAAAGGTTAAATGCATAATTTGAATTTGTGAATATTTTCCCCACATACAGGAAAACCGCGGAAAAACCCATATTTTGTTTATATTCATTTGTTTACATTTATTTTTTATTAAACTTGATTTTTTTTTAATTCATGTTTTGTTTTTATATTTTATATAATAAATAATATATAAATCAAAATGATTTTAACATTGTATAATTATGAAACCATAATTTTATCCGTGTCACATTTATTTATTTTATCTACTCCTACATAGCGTTTTAGTCACGGAATTAAGTTAACAAAAGTGGCTTTTGGGAATTTTAGTCACGGGCTGAAGTTAGCTTTATTATAAATTGCGAAAAAGTGAGGTTAAATTGGTCAAATTTCAAATATGTATGAATTAAAATTGGCTTAAATTCTTATTTTTGTTCGTCGCAGATAAAGTATAGTATGCAATTAATTTATAAACTTCTATAGACTCTCGTTTTTATTAAACACTCGCTCTCAAGCTTCGCTCGTGCCTAATAAAACTCGTAACTAAAATGGCATTCATAAAACTTGATACATAATTTACTAGGTATTTAAGTTAAAATTTTGTATTTTCTAAATGGTGGTGTTAAGCTTTGACAACCGAAAGTTTTGCCTGAAAAATCTGATGTCCAGATGGAAGCCGCCAGAAATGCCGCAGGAAGGAATAGGCAGAAAGTGTTTGAAAGTTATAGCGAACGTATCGCTTCTTGTAAAACTTTCTAAAACAAAATTTATTGTTAAGTTCTGTTTAACTAATTGTTACAAACTTGTGTTATTGGTGTATTGTCAAAAGTTACTTCTTAATTTTAATTGCCCCAAATATGTAGTAAAGTCCACTAAACGTAAAACGATTCAGCTCAAGGTTAATGAATCATTAGTTTTTTGCACTGCTACGTTTGGCGAATCTTACTCAAAATTCTTAACCCCTTATTTGTTTAATTCCATTTTGGAATATTGTTTAAAACTTATATTTGTTTCACATTAACTAAGATGTTTATACCTTTACTAACACGATTATGCATTTTTTTTGGTCATTTTAAACAAATGTGTGCTATGGGATGATTCGTTGCCTAAAAGGAAGTATTGACCGTTAATTTTAAATTTTGGGTACTCTGTTTTGGTAGGTCTTGTAGTTATTAACGCTCTCCAACTGTGAGGGGTAAGTAGTTGTCTGGGTTCTCTAGGCAGAGCCGCAACCCTTATTCCCCCCTCTTAACTCTAGACGTGTAGCCTCCGAAAGGACCGCGTTACTCACTTAGTTAACCCCGTTTGACTTGCGCTTTAACTAAATCTATTATTTTCCTGTTTTTGACCCTTTGGGGTTAGATAAAGTAACGAGGCGTCGCACTATGGTCAAAAAATGCCGTTTTGCGGCAAAAATTCAATAACTTTTTTATTACAAATAAATAATTTTTTTTTTCTAATGTCTTAAATATGATAAAATACATATAATTAAGCATGCTTTTACATCAAAAACTTAAGGGTTTTATTTTTTATCGCATTTTTATATTGTAAAAACACACCGTGTTGCGGAAATAATTGTATAACTTTTTATAAGGACACAATATTTATATTATTTTATTTAGCTGTGCTATGTATGATTTATTTAATAACTTAAATTCAAAAAATAGAAACTTTTAATTTTTTAACGTGGGTTTTATAACTTTTTGGCGGAAATAATCTTATTTTTTATTACCATAATATTATTATATTATGTTATATTGTTAAAACACTACTTTTAGTTGTTTTAATCATAAAAAAATCCAAAAAATACTAAATAAATTATATTAACATTTCCTTAACTTCATCTCAAGTTCGTATTTTATATATGATATTTTTTTTCCTTGAAAATGTCACCATCTTTGACTATTTCTGAGAGTTAAAAGTAACTAATTTCTCTAATCGTTTGCGGCCAACAACAAAGTATTATTTGAATTTAATGCATATACCTAGGCTCTGGTTAAATGGCCCATAAAAACAAACAAAGATGCAAAAAGTTTAGCTCAAAACAGCAACACAACTAATATATTTAACTTTAAAATATTATAATATGAACAATATTTATTGACAAATAAAATTGATTTTTATAAGAGCGACTTATATCAACAGCTTGACAAGCTTGACAAGCGACAGACCTGCAGGGGATTGAACTCATGAGTTCAATCCCCTGCTGGGTCAAATTTTTTTTAAATTTAAATCTACTAATTTGACTATTTCATTTAGTAGGATTTAACTAATTATTAGTCACTGCTTTTTCGCAATGACAATTAGTCAAATATGACTTATAATTAGTTATTTTTGACTAATTAATTTTAAGAGAGTAGTTAGTTACATTTTTGTAAATTTTACTTAAATTAATTTACCTTTTTTAGTATTCTTAGTAGGTAGAAATATTCTTCCTAAATTCCTTGTTTTTGCACCAAATAATTGTTATTCAAAGTTATTGTAAAAATTATAACCACCACGCTTTCTTGAAAATTATCTCTAATGTTTAAGCACTCGTAGTATACTACGAGTGCTTAAACATTAGATATTAGATATTAGATAACAATATATTATCTCCGAAAATTTAATATTGCTTTGTTTAGTTTAAACGATTCCGTAAGTTTTAATTTGTTTAATTGGATATTAAAACATTTTATAATTTGATTACGTTAAATTAATGGATAATTAGTTATGGCACCAGCATTATAAATTTGTTTTGCAAAATAACCTTATGCTTTGTTAAAAATAATTTTAATAATTTTGTTTATTTCTACGAAACCAACTTCCTATTGCATAATAATATTATTACGTATAATTAAATATTCATTGTAGTACTACTAGTTTATAACACTCATTTGTAAAAGGTATAATAAGTAGTCAATTGGAAAATTTATAATCCTAATTTTAATAAGAAACTTTACTGTAGAAAAATTATGTGGGTACCTTTTATTTATGTTTTGAATTTTTGTTTATTTTTATCTTAGTTTTGATGTACCTATAAAAATTTGCTATTTCTCTGCTAAGGTCATCCTATAATAATTATTTATGTTTTGAATTTTTGTTTATTTTTATCTTAGTTTTGATGTATAAAAATTTGCTATTTCTCTGCTAAGGTCATCCTATAATAATTAATTATCAGCATATTTTTTGCATATTTTAAAATAAGCAACTATTTATGATGTAAACAATGCCTGGGCAATGTCCAGTGAACAAAAAATCAAAAATATCGTTAAGAAGCCAAAATAGAAATACATCAATTTAATACTAAAAGTTTTGTACTTAATAAAGTGCAAAAATAATTTTTTATTTAATTAATAATCAAGTTTTTATGAAAAAAAATTAAGTACCTATACTATAGTATATTAACATTTTGTAAACATTTATCATCTAAACAATACATAATATTAGTACATCTTAAAAATATAGTCCACACGCTAGACGTCCCAAAATAACGCAGAGTTCAAACGTTCAAAGACAATTAGTACACCGTTGAATTAATTAAAATAGAATCAAAGGAACAATGTGAAAAATGCCATACCTGCCGATTTCCAGTGCACTTGCTTTTTGTTTCTTGGTCGGGGATGGGGTTTCACATGTGTGTTCCCCATAGCACACTGACATGATGAAAAAACGTCACTAGTCCCTAGTAACCCAGCCCGGTGTTTAATTTTAGAACTGTGCCAACATTCACAAACGAAAATCTGTAGCGCGCGTAGAATTTTATTTGAAATGCTTTATTTACTTTGATTCCCTATAGTTGGATGACATCCCAGTTATAAATACATTATATTAACTGTGTTGGTGGTAATGTTTAATTTTTGAAAATACTATTTACTGCTTTTAAATAATTAAATTACCAATATAAAAGAAATACAATGTACTTAATTTTTTTATTTGCGACATAACTTTTATCCCTGAGGGCCTTCAATTCTTATTTACTTAAAAAAAACTATGAAATATATCGTCAGTATTGTCCTATAGGACAACAACAACATTTCAGGACGTTGTTTTAAACTTGTTGGGAATCGCGTTCACAGTTATACCTTCAAATGTATTGATCGACTCGAAATCGAATTCTAAACAACTCTTATTTTGTCACTTAAGTGACAATTGTCTGTGAGTCTGTGAGTTAACTTTTATCAATTAACTAAATATACAGTTCCTGTATTATAAGTAGGGATGGGATTTTAGTTTTAGTTTACTTTTTTTCAACCGATGTAACTATTTGAAAACCAATAATACCAAAAGGTTTTTAAAAGATTTTCTTTTATATGAACCTAACTTGTTTTCACCTTTTTTACCTTTTTTGGAGGTTTTTGCTTTAAACTACCTTTTTTATACATTTGTTACATATTTTTTAATTTGTCAGTTTATTTTCACCTATTTGTTACCTATTATTACGTATTTTTACTTATTTTATTTTTTTGTGTTCTTTTTAAATTTTGCGCCAATATTTTATCCAGGGCGTGCAACTCAACGGTATAGATTTTTTTATGGTCACAACTTTCTTTACAGTTACCTTCTTTGTAGTGAGCTTAGGTTCTGTCATAGAACTTCTCTGTAGTGAGTGTCACTCAGTGAAACACAGTTTATTGCATAGAAATAGTTTATTGTGGGTATGTTCTGTGTTTGGGTATGCGGCTAAACAAAATTATAAACGAAACTTTTAATGTTTTTTTTTTACCTAAAATGCTGTTTTTTAAACATAAAATGCTTTTTTTAGTACCGTTTTAGTTACCTATTTTTCAGTTTTTGGTACCTAAATATCCTATCATACTTACTACCTTGAACATGTATAATCTAATAGTTATTTGTTTTACAAGTGTTGAAAAGCGACTTTTTCATGCGAGTTTTTAAGTTGCCCACGAGGCCGTTAGGCCGAGTGTGCATTAACACGAGCTTGGAGAAAGCTTTTCTCACAAGTATAACACAATGTTTTTTTCTGCGACCCTTTTATTTTTTATTATTTTTAAATACAAAACAAAATAACATAAAAACTTTTTTGACAGCTAAATGTCAAACGATGCTGTCAATTTCTTTTCATACAGACATGTCACTTTTCACACAGAAATGTCACTTTACATTCGTGTTTTGCCTTGCCAATGAAAAGATTCATTTTCTAAGCAACGATGCCATCATGAAAAGTGACTTTTACATAGTGGTCGTAGAAAATAGATATTTGTTTTACAAGTGTTGAAAAGCGACTTTTTCATGCGAGTTTTTAAGTTGCCCACGAGGCCGTTAGGCCGAGTGTGCATTAACACGAGCTTGAAGAAAGCTTTTCTCACAAGTATAACACAATGTTTTTTCTGCGACCCTTTTATTTTTTATTATTATTAAATACAAATCAAAATAACCTAAAAACTTTTTTGACAGCTGAATGTCAAACGATGCTTTCCGGTTGTTTTCACACAGACCTGTCACTTTTCACACAGAAATGTCACTTTACATTCGTGTTTTGCCTTGCCAATGAAAAGATTCATTTTCTAAGTAACGATGCCATTATGAAAAGTGACTTTTACATAGTGGTCGTAGAAAAATACTTTTACTTGACGGTTATTTATTTTACGTCATACTTGACAAAAGCAAAAACAGGGAGTCCCTGTCAGGAACCAATATTTATATAAAACCATAGATAATTGTTTATGAAGAAAAACTAAATAAATAATAACATAACATTGACACACACAGGCTAAATGAATTGAATTTTTTAAGCATTCTCCAAACACAACATACATATTACATTACTCAGTGGGTACTACTATGTGCATATTTAAATAGGTATTTTTTTATTTGAAGAGCTACAAGGTCGGCTAAATTATACAAAAAAAGCCTTTCAAAACTAAAAATCGTTGTAACTTCGTTATTTCTGGGAATTTCGTAAAATTTTTTCGCTACCATATTTTACCATCTTTTATTTTTATAATGGCCGATATAACTTATGTATATATCCTTGGATTCCTTGATTTGTTTTCTATCTAACCATAAAAAATTTGAGTATGACGGAAAAACAAAAGATGGTAGTGGTAACTTAAAATATAGTAGGATACTGGCTTCCTGGGGTGCGTTCTGGAAAACCCTTTATATAATAATATAATACATCTTAGTACGCCATTTTTACTTATTTAACAAGACATATTAACATAATGTCACTATAGTAATTTATTCTCAATAAAAATTTGGTATACTGAGGCTTCTTGATTTTTAACAGTTTAAAAAACATTTAATGATAACATTTCGAATGCGAATATTTTAGAAACGGTTGAATTTAGGTCTATGGTTTGTTATTTGAATTATGCTCAGAATTTTACAAAGAATCGAAAAATAAATTAATGTATAGGGTGGTCCATTGAAAAAAAATAAACTTTTGCATTTTTTATACGTAGAAAAAGTATTTTTTAGTACCTACTTAACCACACTTTTAAATTTTTGGGGACACTTAAAATAAAAAAGTTTTAGGGGGCGACATTATAGGGGATCACCCTGTACATTAAACCTAATTTTTATAAAAAGATTTGAAACAATATGTTATTTTTAAGTTAAAAAACTTAATGAGGGCGTAACCCTCTTATTTTTTTAAATATTAAAAGTAAATTTTTATTAAAATTTTCTTGCTTTCCTGGTGCGCGACTTCTGGAAAACCCTTTATATAATAATATAATAATAGACCAGTGCAGAAGCCTTTAAAAATGGTAAAAAGAGAAAAAAAATAACAGTAGGATGAAACCCATTGGAAAAGGAGGGGAATATAATAAAAATTAAAGGAAAAATAAATTACGGGCGATCTGAGTTCGGGAAGTGGGAGGGGGGGGTTTAAGGGTAAAAAATGGTTTATCTCGATTTCCGGCAAAACTACAAGTCCTATGGAAAAAAGTTAAATGTCAAAGTTGTAGGTAATAAAAAGATCTACAACTTTTGTATTTACAATTTTTTCACATAACCTCAAAATTTATGTGAAAAATTCAAAAAACCAAGTTTTTGGTTATAATATTTTTTGCCCCCTCCCACTTCCCGAAGTCAGATCCCCCTTAATTTATTTTTCCTTTAATTTTTATTATATTCTTCTCCTTTTCCAATGGGTTTCATCCTATTGTTATTTTTTTTGGTTTCAAAAATGATCGACCCTAGTCTATAACTTGTGTTTTAGATTTTATTCATAATCTTCTTCAATAAAGTTATTTTAACTAATTTAAATCTTATTTTAATGGATTGGATTATATGGTCAAGTTTTTCAATATCCGCTTCAATAAAAATATTAAAATTTTTGTAAAAACAAGATTTATTTTATTTTCGCGTTTCACATAAACTTAAACTTTTTATTATTATTCATTAAAAAAGCCAAAATACTTCAAATGTGTCAAATGATTATTAATTTTACAATTAGTACCTAATTAATTATTAGTTAAAATAAATGTAAACCTACCCCGTATCAAGACAAAATGTCAATATTGACATTAAAAAAATACAAATTGATCAAGTATCTTTTAAAATATACTCCATAACAACGAAAAAAATAAAATTAATTAACAAATTGTCACATCAATTTAAGATACATTTTGAAAAAGCAAAAATATAAAATAAAATGAACAAATTGATTTACATTTCCTTCTTCCTATTATTTGGAATTGTATTTTCGGGCCCTACAACTGGAAAGTATGCTTCTTTGGAGGATGAAATTAAAGAGGTAGTGATTTATAACTTTTTTATAATAAAAGCCATTAACTTATTATTGAATTATTCAGGTCATGGAGTTGCTTCCCAAGGAAAATATTTCCGAAGTTGTTGTAAGCCACCTGAAGACAGATCCTGGTTTTCAAGCTGCCATCAAATACTTTAAATCCGACGAATGGAAGAAAATGGAGGACGCTGTTAAAGACAATGCCGACTGGGTTAAGTTAAAGGCCTTTATTAAAACTATTGGAATCGATATCGATGATATTTTAAAATGTATTAACAAAAACTTAGATAAAGCTGAAGTTCCTAACGTCGCCAAGGACGTCAAGAAAGATTTAAGAAGTTTTTTGATCGATTTAGAGAAAAACGTGCCCACACTTAAGATATTTGGTGCCCTTAACCAAAAAATGATTGGAAACCCGAAATTTAGGGAGGCTCTTGAAAAACTATCCAGCCCTGAAATAAAAACTTTATTTGATAAAGCTCGTGATATTAAGGAAGTAAAAGAGATGGTTAAGATTTTGGAGGAAATGGGTGTTAAGATTAATAGTGTTATAGATGTTCTTTATTCATTGCTGGGTTGGAATGCTCCACAAGTTGCAAATTAAGAAAATTTATTGATGATTTTTCAAGTTTTTATAATGTTTTTATGAAATGCTACTTTGTAAAATGTTTACTAGTTTTTTTATTATCAATTTTTATTTAGTTTATTATTTTTTTAGGCATGTTTTGTAAGGTGTATGTATATTTTTTAATACATTTTTGTTTAAAAATGGCTTGACTATTTCATTAAATTTACCGAGGGGTAAACCACTTTAAAATCTTAGAGACAACCGTTCAATGTTGGTGGACGTTGTGTTGAGATTTGTTTCCTTATCAGTCGTTATCAATAAGGAAAACTTGCTTAATCGGTGCTTAATCAGTGCTTTATTAATTAATTAAAAAATATTTGCGATAGAACAAAAGAGATTCAGCCATTTATCAAAAATAAGAGTGCGCGAAATCGATTTTATTCAGTATAATTGACAAATTCGCTTTTTAGTTTTAGTTCCTTGGTTTGTTTATTAAGTTATTGAAATCGTCTGTCTATAAAATATTTTTTTTTATGTTTTGTTTTTTCAGATATTCCATAAACAAACACATATGAAGTATTTATATAGGCCCCCCAGATTTGGTTTTGCCCTGGTACCCCAACATCTCAAGCTGCGGCCCTTCATATAAATGTTATTTTTTTGTAGGGAGTTTTTCAAACCATTTGAGTCTTTTTTGTTTATTGTTGGAAAATTAAAAAAAATATATTTTTCAGTCATTTTTGGTAAATAATAAATTTATATGTATTTAAAGCACAGTTTTTTTTAAATAATCTATGATTAAAAAATTATCACATAGAAAGGAATTTTAGGTTAAGTAACCAATTGCCTTACAAATATTTGTAAGGTTATTATTTAGTTTACACACTTATGTATGGCGGAGCTTTAAACACTGTACTTATTACAACAATGCATTTAACTACTTTCTATTTTTCCTTCTATATGGTTCTGATGATTTGAAATATTAGTTATGTTCATTCAGCGAGCAGCGGATGCGTTTTTTATTTTGTTTTCATAACAATCGTCTTTAGATGTTGTACATAACGTAGCACTGTCCTATATTCAAATTTGTTTTTATATTTTTTAAACCAAATACTTAAACCAAGAAACATTGATAATAAAGCTATAAGTCCTAATTAAACTAAAAAAAATAATAATTATACACATTCATATAGTAGCTTCCTTTGAAAAATTCTATATTTAACGAAATTTATAATGTACCTATAATTAATTTTTTTATTTATTTAACTAGGACTTATAGCTACATTAACAATAATCATTAGTTAAAGCATTTGATTAAAAAAATATATATGTTTTGGCTAATGTGCAAACTTAGATAGTTTATAAACTAGCCAAACTGTCAGCTATTTTAATTGAAAACATATTTTTAACTAAATTAGCGGCTAGTTTACAAAATAACCAAGGATCTTGGCTAATTTACTTGAAATTATTAGGGAAACTAAAATAGCTGGATAGTTTGTATACTATCGAATTCAGTTTGGCTAATATGAAAACCAAAATTTCTAGTAACACAAAATAGCCAAGATTTAGCTAGTTTGTAAACTAACCAACCAATTCTCTGCCTAATTTATTAAAAAAGTGAGCTTACGGCATTGTTTTTTGTTTTGCCGGCTTAACCGGATTTGTTTTATGCATTTTAACGTTTTTAAAATGAATCATAGGCAAAATTTTAACGCTTCCTTGTTAGAAAACTCAACAACACAACCCTACTGACCCCGCCCCATTGACCCCCCCCCCCGCCCCATTGGTCAAATGGTCAAAAATGAGAGAAAAAAACCTAAACCAACCCAAACTCAACAACACATCCAGCTAGTTTATAAACTATCCAAGTTTGCACATAAGCCGTAACATATACAACAATTTCAATGTTTGCATATTCAAAAAAACGTTTTTTTACATTATCTTGAGAACAAGACCTAATTAAGTATTATGATGGTCATTTTTGAAATCAGCGCAGACAAAAATTTCATTTTGTTGATAATCAGTATACTGAGTCACTGACGTGGCTGCTGGTGGATTTTGGGCACACCCATATCTCAGTTATTAGACATGGGACCCACATCAAATTTATATGAGTTTATAATGACATTATATAGACTGCGCAAGCAGAATTTAAATTGAAGTTTGCGAAAAAAAGTTAGTTTTTAAGTGTGCCCCCCCAGCCTCCTGTCCCTTCAATTTAAGATAATTCAAATTAAAGTGGTGCAATTTATAATTCTCTACAGTTTATCAACAAATTTCAAAATTTATTTAAATAGTCCAAGTATTACAGATTTTATACCATTTCTATTTTTTTTTAATTTAGTGTAAGAAATAATAAAAATTTAAAATGGTATAAAACCTGTAATACTTTAATTTTTTTAATAAAATTTAAAATTTGTCGATAAACTTCATTGAATTAATTATTGTAGCACTTAAATTTGAATTATCTTAATTTGGGTGGCAGGAGGCTGGGGGGGGCACACTTAAAAACTTACATTTTTTCGTAAACTTCAATGTAAATTCTGCTTACGCAGAACTTGTATATATATGTCATTATAAACACATATAAATTTGATGTGGGACCCATGTCTAATAACTGTGACCAGCCGCCACACTAATAATTAGGTACTGAGTTGACTTCAAAAACCGTAAAAAATCAAATTGGCGTTGCCTAGAATTAGGGTAAGCATAAAGGGATCAAAGGCATTTTAGAGAGTTAATCAGACTTACCACTAAATATCAAGATAGCGGGCACCCTTGCGAGTTATTCAAAGAAAAGGGGCTCAGGGTCGCCATGGCATCCACTACTTAACCTCAAAGAATCGTTTGCATTTAATACAAAAGGCCACAAATGCACAAGGTCTTATTTTCCTACCGTTTGACTGGACTATAAAGGACAGGGCTTAGTTTAACACAATTTTAAAATTAATACTTTATCCAGGACAACCTAAATTGCTACTATAGGGTTATGCATTAAATGAAAATTAATTTTAGACATTTATTTAAAAAACAGCATAACAATAGTATTTTGACAAAATAAATTTAATTCCAACAATTTATTTAAGGAGATCCCCAATCTAGAAAACCATAAATAATAATTAAATATTCATCAACTTTAACTCCCATTTTAATAAGCTGACTGTAAAGCAATTTGGATTCAGGTAGCGCTCTTAGTCTTTCCACTAGTTTAAAGGTTTCTTTGCTTTGCACTTTTTCGAAAAGTTCTCTAAAAGCTGCGTTGTTTTGAATTTTGTCTCTGATCATTCCAAATATTTTGTCAACAGGTAATACGGCTTCTATATCGTTGAAATATGGTTCAAAGTTTATTTCGTCCCCAATTACACCAGGTTTAGCATTACGAACCAAGTTTTTCATGAAGGTGTGTAAGAAATCTACTGGGATTCCAAGATATAGCAGGCGTTTCTTTAAATCTTTGTACTCTTGAGATTGCATGATTTTATTTTGTAGGTCCTCCCATGCTGCACTTTGTAAATATTTAATGCCAGCTCCGAATCCAGGATCGTTCTCCAAATGGTTGTTGGTGATGTCCATAATTTGCCTAAATGGAATTACTTGCGCAAAATCTAAAAATTCCGTTAAAAGGGCTCTTGGAACAGCTTGATTTTGAGCACATGATAGTGCCAATACGGAAGCAAAAATCAGTAGTACTTTCATCTAAAATAAAACCATTTTATTAATAATATATATTTAATAAACACCTAAAAATCATATGTTTAACAGGATGTACGAGGGTATATTGATAAGTACTTATAATTTTGAAAAGATTTGTGGCGCTAAAGCAAGTTTTGTTTATTTAGCACTTCTTTTTGAAGTTATTATGGGGACCGCCAGCGTATTTTACAATCAAGAACTGGTTTGCCGAATTTCGTGGTGTGACTAACATCGAATGATACCGAACGTTCTGCAAAATTCTATTGGAAGATCAAAGGGTGAATGTGTGAGATTGCTAAGACCGTAGGCATGAACCTGTACATATAAAAACGTCTTTATTTGGCAAAGACAAAAACTATTTTTAACAAGATAATTCCCCAGCTAACAAAGACGCTATAGCCATATAAAAAAAAAACAAGCAGTTAGGCTGAAAATTGATTCGTATTCTCCAGATTAGCCCAACTGTAACATTTTATTTTTTCCAGAACTGGAAAAATCGTTGGCAGAAAAGAGACATGCCAAAATGCTAAAATAATCGACTCTGTAAATGCATTTTTTGTTGGAAAAAGCAAAAGTTTAATTTTGATGGAATGATGAAGTTAAAGTATCGTTTGAATACATGTATCACAAGTTTTCAAAAATAAAACTTAATTTGACCCAAAAGATTGCATTTTCATACTTATACTAAAGAGTTATCAATATGCCCTTGTATGTGTTTAAAAGAAGAAGAGAATATTAATTTAATTATTTATTTAATTACAAACTTCATAATGCACAAGCATGCAAAGTTTAATTATAGGTACATAGTACGAAGTGTATAAGTAATGTTATATAATTTTTTAATTGTTAAAAAATAATAAATTGTTATTAGGCAAAAAAAGTGAGTATTTTTGTGCTAAACTAGTGTTTAAAGTTTTAAGGCTTTGCAAACACAAAAAGCCGAATGGCCAAATGGCATACAATATTGTATCTGCAAAGCAGAATTTTATATACTAAATAAATAAAACGGTTTTTAATCGATCTGAGAAAAGTTGAATTTGTTTGTATAATAATATTATTTACAAAAAAAGTCCATGAATATGCTTAATTAAAAATACACATTTTTTTGCAAAACATATACCACATTATTTTGTACTATTGTTTATAATTTATAAACAATTTGATATTATTTAAAATCATTTTTCCCCTTTTGTTTGTATTATCGTGCTTTTTATTTTGTTTAACCCTAATTATAGGTTTGACTTACCTTGTATATAGAAACTTGTTGCACCAACAAAGCTAAATGACTAAAGTTCTCCTACTTCGAGTTGTTTATATATGCATTGTTGGAAACTTGTAATTTAGGAATGTTATTATATATTATTAAAAAATTTAATTTTTCCTAATAATATTTTAGCAATTTTTAATTACAGACAAAAACTTTTAATTGCGCATAAAAAAATATATCTAAGAACATAGTTATTTTAATTTAATTGGAAAATCCTATTCGAATTATTATAGTGAATTAACATATATATTAATAACACTAATATAAATATATAATATATAATATATTATATAAAATATATATAAGTGAGAAATTGAAATGAATTATAAAAATTATTTTGCGTATTTTTTAAAAATTAAATTATTTAGGGCCGATTTATCAATGTCCACTTAAGTGTCTTAACTGGTAAATAAAATTAAAGTGGTAGCTAACTGTTTATCAATTGCAACTAACTTTTACTAAGAACTTAAATTAAATTTAACTGAAAGCTGCAAGTATCAGATAGGGAATTAACTAGCAGTTATCGCGGTTTATAGGTTATATTTGTGTTTGTGTAGTGTTGTTTTTGAAATGAATATTTAAGATTTTTGAATACCTATATTTGTTGAGTTTTTGCAACACAAGAAAATACTTATACAGTTTTAGAATGGGAAGAACGTTTTCAAAATTATGACGATTTTTTAAGATATCAGCTGCAGAAGCAAATATAGAGGAGAAAATAGAAATTTTTACGAATGTGTACGTCAAGTTCTACATATTTGTCCACGTGTAAAAAAAACAATTTGAACCGATAGATTTTTTTGGTAGTTATTTTAAAAATTATTTTTAAATTAACGATTGCAACAAAAAATAAAAGATAATAAATTGTATAAAATATATTTATATACGTATTTTTATTTAAAAATATACCCATATCTACACCTATAAAATAATAAAGAAGCATAACAATATACACAAAATAAGAGTTGTTTAAGGTTATGTGTTTTATGCGCATGCCATGAATTTAAATTTAACCAATTAAAATGTTTCTTGATAGTGTTGCCCAATTGTTAAATTACTAAACTAGCAGATACGAAACTGGAACCTTACGAGCTGATGAAAAACACTTCTATCAGGAAAACTGTCAGATAAAGGTAACTGTAAGATACTTAACCGCCACTTTTAGTTGGACATTGATAAACTGGTAAATAGCATTCCAATGAGGTATCACAAAGAGGGTGTTGCCACTTAAAAAAGTCGAGTTGGATTGGCTACAGCCTGCTTAGTGAAGATCATTTTTGTGATCATATTGATTCCTCTCACAGATGCTAGAAACGGTTTTAAGAAAATTTTAATATCTTTTTTAGGTTCAGACTTAAACAGCCCATTCAGAGTAAAACCGAATATAGGGAAACGTTTTAGGCGTGGCATCGCCTTCCTCCAACTCGCGTCACAGTATTTTGTGAGATAAACGACATGACGAAAGGTCGAGCAGGTAAGACGACCTTAAAAATTAAATGATAATAATGCAAAAAATCTCATTAGCGATGCAGGCTATTTGCTTAGCTACTGTGTCGCGCGTTAGAGGGAGGCGAGGCCACGCCCCATACGTTTCCCTATATTCGGTTTTACTCTGAACGGGCAGTATATTACTAGTTTTTAAATAGTTAAATTATTTATTTAGTTATGTGTTTAATACAATAATTGTCATAATAAACCATTAAAGTTTAAAGATTCACACTCAAGGTAAATTTTAAGTCGGAACAGAAATAAATAGTTTTAGGTTTTTAAAGTTCTCCCAGTAGGTAGCTAAATAATCATAAAAGTCATGACATTTATTTGAGTATTTATGTTTACGATTTATACAGGGATCCAAGAAAATTATCAAACAAATTCTACCTTATTTAAAAAACATATGGAAGCGTCAAAATTAAGTTTTTCTACTCCTATTACGGAATTTGACCGTTCTAATATCACTTTTATCTATGGAATGACATATATTCCGTAAAGTGTTACAGAATGAAATATTCTATCATCCGATGACAGAATAAACACTCGTGGCGACATCTCTGTTTTTAATATCTAACAAATTTTAGACCGATCCAACCTCACTTTCTTCCAATTACATTATTTTTCTATGGTATTTTTTGGAAATGTAGAAAAAGTATAGTCTGAAACACGTTTGGAATTGCATATTCCGCTCTCGTGAAGCCGTCAAACTCGCCTTCGGCTCGTGTGACAAACTTTTCACTCGAGCGGAATATGCTGTATTCCAAACTTGTTACAGAATATACTATTAGTTTGATAATAATGTTTCACCTTGTATAATGTTCCAAGTCTTACTTATACCTATAGATTAGCTCTAATGTACATAATATGGTTTCATTAGCAATTAATGTTTTTTCTTATGAAAAAATGCAGTTTAACTTTAACAATACGCATGCGTCTGGGGATAGTACAATTTTTCTTAAACAATTTTCTGAGATTCCTGGGGGTATGTTTCTACAGTGGATCATACTTCTTCTGGGGCACCCTGCATAAAGTCTTCATATAGGTATTCAAAATGGCGTCAAACAAACTAAAATTGCTAATAGGGTATAAAATACGGCACTAAAAGCCCCTAAAAACCAATTTGGTATTTTTTTTTGTTCTTGCTTTTTAAAAATAAAATTTAGCCAATGTCGCTAGTTTGTTTTGCATAAAATGCTTTCATTTAAATTAATTTGCTGATGGGGTCCTGGACCATGTCAAAAATTTCCCTTAGAAGCTATGGCATATTTCTGTGGGTTAAATGCGAAAGGGAATTAGTCAAAAAAAGCAAATGTTCAGTGCCTTAAAATGCATTTGCATTATTTCAGGAATTATATTTAATTCTGTTAATGTTTGTTAATAAAATAATTAAGGTCAAATCACCCTAAAATATGTTTTTTGATATCAAATTTTTACCAATGTTTGTGTGTTAAATTTTACAATACAAATTAATGATAATAAAACATGGCAAAAAATCCTAGTGTAAGTTTAAGTTTTAGGTGAGTAAAAATGGCGGCCTATAGTATGTTTTCTTAGCTATAAGGCGGACCTCTGACTCGCGCGATATAGTTGCCCCTTGCCCCCCGAGCCATTCCGTTGATGACATTCTTGATTTTATAAAGCCTAAAACGTTGTATTTAAATAATTTGCTAATTGTTAAAATTTATACCAGAATTTGGTCCCAATTAATGCACTAAGTGGTTATTACGAGGGTTTTCCACCCCATATAAAAACCCTCATAATAATAATTGATTTACAATTTAGTGCAAATGTTGTCTTAGGGATATTGTTATTATTAAAACAGTAAATTATTTTATAGTTACTGCGGAACGTTACCATATCATAATGGAAAACGTTTTGGTGTGTCAACCTGAAGAAAGAAATGTGGTTCCATCAAAACCTAGGGTCTAAATCAAATAATTTGGCCCTACAACCTCAGGTTTAACTGCCTTAGAATTGCTGTGGGGACATCTTAAAAATAAAGTTTTTTCTACCAAACTCGATATAGATAAAGTATTCATACATATTCAAGATACCCCCTAATGCCTATCAAGACGTGATGGAAAATATGCTTAAAACAATTTGAGTATTTGTGGCTTTCACAAATGTATATTTAGTAGATCGTCGGTGGTTCAGCAATAACTGCTTAATTTAAAAATGCAGAAGATACACAAAGACTTGGGGGTCCATAAAGTACGTCACACGTTTAGCGGAAGGGCGGTTTTGT